ATTTCTCCTCCTCTCTTTCCCCCTCCATTTTCTTTCCCTTCTCCCTTATTTTCCTTCTTTCCCTCTTGCGCTCTCCCTTCTCCCACTTCTCCTCTCCTCTCCACCTCATCTCCTCACTCTCCTCTCCAGCAGATGAAAGCACAGATCAGCTCTTGCCTTTGAAGTGGCTGAGACTGGCACCCTCCCACCGGTTTAGTGGTAGGAGGAGGGGAGCAGAGGTTTTAGGAGAAAGGGCAAGAGATGAGAGGAAGGGATGGAAAGAAAGGGGGGTGAGGAGAGGTTTTAATTGTGAGGATGAGAGAAGTTTGGGTAGAGGTAGGAGATGGAAGGAGGGTGGGAAGGAGAGGGGAGGTCTGGGCTGAGATCCTAACCCAAATGATGTCATTCAGCCTTTACCATGGCAACCTGAGGAATGCCTTTTCAAAACCTCAAGCCCGACTGAGGGTGGAGAAAGGGGAGGAGCGTCGCTCATAGTTCCTGAAGAAAAGCCTCAAGGCCCAAAACTGATCCTAGTTTACTCCTGCGTTCAGCCAATCAAAGCCATTAGTAAGACAGCCCACTAATATCAGCTCAGACAACAAAAGCAGTCCAGAAAGCTACACAAGTCTTCTGCAAACACGCAACTCTCTGAAATTTTGGATTCAGGATTTTACCAGAACATTACTAGAAGCTGCAGTGCAGAGCTGCTGTACCATTGAAAGAACAGTAAGCTGCCTGGTCATGCTAAAGGCTCTGAGAACTTATTTTCTTAGTCAGCATCTTACTGGGGGTGATGGCATCCTACATGAATGCATGTATCTTTAAATTTGATATTTTCTTCTCTCTCCTCACTGGCAGGCAGGTTTTGAAAAATGTCACATGCTTCCTTTCCTTTTTTTTTTTTTTTTTAAAGATTTGGACACTAAAATATGAAGTTACAGTTAGCTTAGCATAAAGATAAGAAACTGGTAAGTTACTTGTCTGAAGGTGAATTCCGCCTCTCAGCACATCTACAGCTCACTAATGAAAATCTTTTAGCTTGTTTGTTTAATTTGAAAACAGAAGTTTAAAAGGAACAGTTTGAGTTACGCTCCTGATTACTTCTTGGACGGATGCAGTAACCGCAAAATAAAACAGTTTGTCTGCTTGTCAGTTCTCTGTTGTTTGTTTTTAGGGGTGTTTTTTTTTTTTTTTGCCTCCATCTCAGATAGTGAAAACACATAAATTCTGCCCAGCAAACACCCGATGTGTTGGTGTAAGCCGAGTGTGGGGCTAATGTGGTGCTGTAATAGCCATTGACTGTAATCTAAAACCAATTATTTCATTTTCCACTGTCCTCTGTGCAGCTGTGAGTGTCAATTTGGGACTGTGAAAGTGCAGGGATTTAATGAGAAACCACACTCTATAGTTTGTCCTAAAACTTTTATGGACCCAATTTATGTTTTCCAAATCCACAAACTTTCAAGGGTTTCCGAGGCCTCTGGGAACTGTGTTAATTAGGTTAATTATGTAGGTTTTAATTAACTAAGAGGGGTGGGTGGGTGTCTGCTGGCCTTGCTGTCAGGCTGCCCTCAAAGGCACCTGGGAGGAAGAGAAGGAGGGGGGAGGAGGTAAGAGATGGAGGGGAGACAAGGGGAGAGAGATTAGATAGCCTGCAAGTATATAAACGTACAGAAATACCACAACTGTATTTTGCATAACCTGTCCAGGGTGTCCCCTGCCTTCGCCATAAGTCAGCTGGGATAGGCTCCAGCCCCCCCCCCCACGACCCTAATGAGGATTAAGCGGTGTATAGATAATGGATGGATGGATGTTTGAGATGCTTCTACCATATTGCAGCGTGACCTTTGCAGTAGAGGTCATGCTATAGATTATATTTATGTCTATGTTATACAAAAATACTTCACTACTATGGCTTAAATGTGACTTACATATTGTAAGTGAGGGGAAAAAAGAATAGAACTTGTATAAGTAGTAAAAACACTGACAGAATACAGGTGATTGTGAAGCAGCTGAAGGGAAACTCAGCAGAGTCAATAACAGAAACAGTAGTTTCTGTTAAGTGACTGCAGAGTCTTTATTCATTCAGTGTTACATGAAGGCACCTGCTCTGCTACTCGTTACCACACTTAGAAATGACCTTGATTTCTTTCATTGTCATTTTCAAGGGCAAGGTTCTCTACACAATATAGCTTTAACAGTTTGTGCTCAGTATCATCCCTAAATGTTCTTCACCCCGGGGCCGGCTTCTCAGCCAAATATGACATACACATGCCAACATTTCTTTGTTTTGCCTTTTTACACCAAAATGCCCTGTCCAGAACTATTCAGACACTTTCTCAGTGATCAATAGCAAAGCCTTTTTTTTTTTTTTACTCATCACAGCAATCAAACATTTATAATTGCTCCTAAGCTTTTTCATGTCTCCACTGGGATTTTGGACCACTTTGGACCTCTTGTGCAACAATGTGTGAGTCTTCAAGGTTGAAGGCTTTCTTGCCATCACTCTGGTATTCAGGTCTGGACTCTGATTGGGTCGCTCCAAAATGCTGATATTATTTTGTTTAAAGCATTTCTTGATCCCACATACTGGCTGCATGTTACAGATCATTGTGTTCTTGGAAGGTCCAGTGCTATCCAGAACCAAGTTCTTCTGCAGACTGCTGGACATTCTTATCTAGATTCTTAATGTAGTCCTGCTCTCATGATGCCGTTTACTTTATAATCAGAATCTGTTTTATCGCCAGAAAGGGTTCACATACGAAGAGTTTGATGTGGTGTTTTGGTGCATACTAGGGGATCACTGACAAGTGCACAAGCTGTGAGGATAAAGATTACAGATAAAAAGAAAGTGCTGCCTTTCGCAAAGGTTTGGTGAGCTTGATTAAGCTTTACTCTGTGGCCACCGGCACTAGAAAACACTTGGATATGGCTTATAGCCATTGTGAGCAGCCCCAGTGCACAGCTCTCTCAGTAATGGACCCTGATCGTGGCTCACTGAGCTTGCAACTTGCAAATGACTAGTAACTAACAAAAAAATTGTTCTTGAAAACAGCTGTTGTAATGTTGTTGTGTAGAATGCTCTAGAACATGGTAGAATGTGGCTACATTTCAAGAGATTTAAAATATTTTGGACATTGCATTTAGCACAAATGTAAGAAGAGAAAAACAACATATATATTTTTTTTAACAACTCTAACACATTGTCTTCCTGTCTTTGTTCCTGTGGTGTTCACATGAAAATAACTTGTTTTTCTCTCTGTCCCAGGTGTCATGTCGATGTGGCTCCACTGGCTGCTGAAGTCCTTCAAGAGATCATTGGATCCTAAAAGCTTTATCCTCAAAATCTTCCACTTTGAACCAGCAAAAGAAAGCCCAGCGTTTGGAATTTTTCACCACCAGACCCCAAAGTGTACTTGTGATCTGTAGTCTTTTTAGAATGGAGATCTGTTTCTAGATAATCAGCTAGCTAAGATTGTTCACTCATGACTGTTGGCAGTTTTGAATTACAATGGACATGAGTTATTTATTTGTTAAGTCTCAATCTAAGTTCATCATTATAAACTGGATATGAACATATTGTCGTAAGTTTTGGTTGTTTGTGTGAATCAGTTTGAACAGCTGTAAAAGGCCTCTAGCAGCTTTGTGACATGAGTGAACCTGACCACTCGCTATCAAAGCGTTCACTCATCCTCGATGTGACTCATCGTTTTCAAATTAGATCAATGACAGAAACAAACTTTATTAAATTTTTGTGTCACTAAAATAATTTGACAGCGCAATTAAAACGTCCATCCAGTGTTTACTGGACTGCACAGGATTACAGCATGAACATTAATTTCGACTGTCACAGGCATCACAACACCTACACGCTTCCAGTCAGCATTAATGACGCAGTACTAGTTCATAAGATCACATGTGTCCGTCGCATGACAGTCACATCATGTGTCCGTAGCATGACAGTCACAGATTTCTACTTTGCCTGATGTAAATCGAACTATGAGCAATCCCTGTGGCTAGTTTAACAGGTATTGTGGTGCCACACTAACAAGGTTGTTTGGTGTTCTGGTAGCAGTGACCTGTGCCATGAACATAGAAGGCAGTTCTGTTCAGTGGCATTCTGTTGAACCGAAATTCCAACTTTGTATCTTTATGTGAGGTCATAGCACTTGAAGTCATCCTGCTGTTCTGAGGCATATCAGGTATGAACTACTACATTCCAGATTGTTTTTATAAATATAGTATAAATTGGACGTTGCCACACAGACAAATTGAATATACCCTTACAGGTGATGTCTGGATTGGAAAAAAAGCTGTGCGTGGTATGTTGGGAAGAGACTGGATGAGGTCTGGAAGAGTCGACGGTGAGGTGAGGCATACGTTAAAAAGATGCTCAGCTCAGTCCAGGACACAGCCCTCTAACCACCCCAGCTGTTCTCCATACAACAACATCCACACATGGCCACTACTGGCACACATTTAGCTCTTGACTGCATGTTCCAATTCCATATGCAAATCTGACTAATCGCACTCAAGCTGCAGCAAACACAGCTGTTCAGTTGTCTAATATCATCCACCAAGTTGAACTACAGTTTGACACAATTTCATATGTGGAAGATATTGAACAGAACTGGCATCCTGCCAAACTGCAGGTGGATGTTGCCACTCGTTTTCACAGGTAGCAGACCAGTATTTCCTCAGTTTGCTATTTTGCTGTCATCAGATGTGTAAAATGGATTGTCACACCTGCACAGGTGGTAGGTCACAGCGCTGTCACAGTGACCTTGTAACTAATTGTGCGTTCTTACAGCATAGATTTGTGTCAAGTTTCACTGATGTGCATTAAGCTGTTTTGTGTTAGAGGTCAGGTGAACGGCAAGCTGCAAATATTGTGTTGCTCTTTATACTGTATACATACATATGTAGAACAAGTTTGACAGCAGTTCTGAGGTCTCTGATTTGACTTGGTCTTGATTGTAAACACACCATCACAACCCTGTAGTACTGTGATTCTACTGTGTCCCACAGTCCTTGAAGGGATTTGAAATGTCTCGCTGTGGAACTCCATCAATCCTCGATTTAAGTGTAAATGAGACGGGGAGGCGTCCAGGTGAAATGACAGTCCATTTTATTGTTTCAGAACACAGCAGGCTACAGCAACCAGCTCCTCTCACTACCCCACCCCATAGTAACAGCAGACCAATAGGAGCCCTCCTCCACCCTGTCCATTCATAGACACTCCCACCCAGCTAGGTCAGCTACACCCCCTTTGGAACAGCAGAGACACATAAGTGTCTCCCTTTAAAGCAAGAAAATAGCTTGATATTTGGACCATGATTTCCAATTCATGTTTTTATACAAAAGCTACACAATGTTACACTTGATCATCAGAATACAATTCAACTGATTAACTTTAGTGTTTGGACACCATTTAAAATGTGATCAGATTCTTTACTTGGATGGAGCATTACCACTAAAAAACTCAACACTACCAGAGACTTAAAATACAAGGGACTGCAAAAACAAGAGATGAGTATCATAATTCAGAGTAATGAGAAAAGCAAGCTAGATTCAGTTTGTACCATTACAGACTTAAGGAAAACAGAATAAAAAAGTAAAACAACCAAAAAGAAGTAAAAATGAAAAACAAAATACATAAAAAGGGTTTTTGGAAAACCAATCATTGAGATCAAAATCTGTGTGTCATGTCAGGAATTGAAGTCAGCCCCCCATCAGGCTGAGAGACCAGAACCGAACCGCACTAAAATCTAGTTTGTCCCAATGGAGTTCCCATAGACAGGAAACTCTGCTTGCTGTTGTTGAGTCATCTTCAGGCACTTTCTGAAACCCCGCCTCCTCCATATGGGCGAATCACGATGCAGGTTCATCCAGATCACATGATACAGCTGCAAAGGGAGGAGAGAAATGAGTAGGAATAAAGAGGTAAGCGGAAGGAGACAGCACAGGCTTTGGTGAAGGACCACACACACAGATCAAACACCAAGTAACATCACACACACCACATCACACAGCTTTGCAATTAGGACCAGTCTGAACATGCACAGCCACAGTGAGTAAATCCTCCACCCCCACCCTCATCCCTCCACAGCCATTTTTACTAGAAACGGCGCTTCCACTTTTACATTGTACCTTAGAAATGGCGTCTGGTCTTTACAGCTAATACAAAGCTACAGAGTAAAACGAATCTTACCTAGTAGAAAGTGTAGTGTAATGTTCTCGTTATTTACAGGTCGGTATCAAACCAGGCCAGTTGGTTTGAGTCGCCAGGTGGCAGGCCCTCTATCAGTTCCTGGGCATGTCCCAGGTCAGGCAGCCCTTCTACAGGGGGGTAGTCCTGGCCAGGGTGGTGGCCTCCACCCAGATCATGGTCCATCATGGGCTCCATACCCATTGAGTCCCCTCCATAACCCCCCGAATGGAAGGAACGGTAACTTGGGTCTGGTGGAGAGGGGAGTGGATGGAGGAGAGGCAGGGGAAGCAGAGCAGTTGTTAGAAGCATGTTAACAAACCAAGCTGTCACACAGTAGTATGATCATTCAGATGTAACACTGCACAGCAACACAGCACACTGTCCGTTCTCCAGCTGAACTCTGTGGTTAAAGACCACTGACTGAATGTAGCTCAACCTGCGGTTGTGTTCACTATCTTTAGTTTGATTTTATCAACCGAAATTCCTGTAGACCAGCCAGGATGTTCTCTGATACATCTACCAACATCAAGTCTTTGTTTTGGTTTGGCTGGCGAGAAGCCAATTAAAGCTTTTAGTGCTGGAGGAATGGAGAGCAGTGCAAATTAAAATCAGCAGCCAACTTGCCCCCATAGCCTCCTGATTGGTGCACATAGTCTAATGTCCTGGTACACCAGTGGCAACACTGAGACGGTAGATTGTGGCTACTAAAAGCAGCAGCCTTGTACATCTGCGAGCTACTGGGAAAAAATTGTTGTCTGTTCTTAATGTGAACTCATTGTTGGCCTGTCCATCATCACCTTTAAAAGCCAAACTGGTCATCTGCAGTAATATTGATGGACAGATGGGCCTCAGTGACACTGTGACAAAATTTTGCACTGTATCAATTTAAACAGGGTCACAGAGGTCCATGGGAGTGGAGAAGCTAACGGACTGATGCAGAACAGAGAGGCACAGTATGCCCAGTTTAAAAACAAAACAAAAAAAACCACACACACATCAGCTCAAATGTTTTTTTTGTCACAATTGTGCTGATATTTCACCTGGGAACAGCCCAGCCACACAAAGGTGAGGAGGTGACTTACCTTCCTGTCTGTAGCCCAGAGGCTCTCCCTGAGCTCCCATGTCCAATCCCAGGTCTCCAGTCTGCAAAGCAACATAGAAAAGGGTGAACAGGGTGGCAGCAGATTAAATGAGACCAATTATGTAGGCCTTTGTTGACTGAATTTGACTTTAAAGTGTAAATAAGCACATTTGGACAAATATAAAGATGGTAAAAAATGTAACAGATTTGAGTTCTTCATACCTCATTCCAGGCCATTGGTTCTGTCCTGAAGAGCGAGCTGGTGAGTTCTACAGAGAGGCGTTTCTTGTAGTCTTGGGGTTTGTCCTCTGACATACGGAACAAAACTGCAGCTGCGTATGTGGCTGTGGGAAGATGAGTGAAAGAGTGTTGAAAGGTTAGTCACTTCACTCTGCTGCATTCAATTTTGTGCTTTCAAAAACAATTTGCAAATATCACAATAATCCGGCCATCACGGATGATTACAATATGGCTGCTGCTTTATTTGTCTACATCAACTAGAGTCCTTTTTGGGAAACCTGGACAAAAACAGTCATCTAAGTGCCATTATGTGACCAATGGCACTATGTAAATGAGTGTGTTTTTGTGTACATACCAACTCCTTCATTGCGGCTGTGCAATAGCTCGGTGAGAGGGGCAGTGGCTCCTTCAGCCTCGATGGCTTCAGCAGCCTCTTTGTCCTGGGCCAGCTCACACAGGACACCTGCTGCTACACGCTGGATGTTCTCAATGGGAGAATACAACAGCTGCACACAAACACAGACAAAATGCTTAGAAAAAACCTTCTCAGTCTGTACAGCTCTCTGTGACATCTAAGATATGAGGTCTGCAGAGTCTCATGGTGCAACAAATTGTTGTCTGCAGAGCATCAATGCTTGTGTCTACTTGAAGTCTCCATCTCAAACTTATTGAAACTTTTCAATATTCATTTTCCCTGTTCAATGCACTGACACCTCAAATAATTAATCACATTACTAAAGTTAAATATCTTGAATCTTGAGCAAATTACACACACTGAGTTTTTAGCAAAATGCTTTATGTTGTTATTGCTACAGTATGAACACAGAAAAAAAGAGCTAAACTCAGACTCACCTGTACAAAGAGTGGAATGGTGTTGAGTCCTCTGATGACTATTCTGTTGTGGACATCTCTGGCCAGGATATGAAGTGCCCCTGTGCAGCCCTCCACAATCTCCTCCATGCGAACTCCCTCCTAATAACACAAACACATATTAGTGACATTAGAACTATGCAGTTGCTGTACACCTCTCTACAGTCTAGCCCCACTTAAAGATGA